ATATATATAAAAACAAAAAAAAAACAAAACGAAGAGTCCGTGCACGGAGGCCCAAAAAAAAAAAAAAAACTACAAAAAAAATCTATGTACTCTATGCACGGCGTAGCTATTGCTCCCCACTTGGAAATTTTTTTTAAATAAATCTAAAAAAATACAAAATAAACAAAATAAAAAAATTACAAAAATTCAAAAATACATATATAAATATTATTTTGTTGCTTCAATCGTAACCTTTTGATTGCAATCAAATAATGTGTTAAACGTGTGATACTTCAATAATTTCTTTTTCCTGGGAAGAGTAAGATCAAGTTTTTTTGGTAACATATCGTCCATTTCTACAACCCGTGAACCTCTTGTCAAATCTGGAGAAAAGGAAAAAACATAGGAAGTACATATCCTCTAATTTAAATAGCTTCTCATATTTTCAAAATTTATCTTAAATCGCTTCTCACATAAAATATTTATATATCTTTGCTTGCAGGTGCTCAACAAAAAGAAAATCAGGTGTCTATCTACCATTTCCTGATTACAATAGCTATTTTTTCTATACTAAATTTTACAGTTTTAACTTACATCTTGTTTATTGAGATGGACTAAATGTCAATCTTCAATTCTTCTATTAAAAATCGAACACAAATCATGAAATTTTCACCAAACTTCACGATATTGTTCTACAACGACATATAGAATATATATTTTTTTACATCACATACAAAGTTTATCTTACAGACATGGAACTTCTATTAACAAACTTTCTAACTCGCCTATACTGCAAAATCTAACTTAAAATCTATATTAGGCCTCTACAACGTAAATAATAGAGTTATTCTAACAAAATTTTCATTGTACTAGATTGAGACAGAATGGAGTGCCACATCGTTTCTTCAGAATCATTACTCCTCCACAAAATCATAATACTCGTCTGGTTAGTCACACAAGAGTTTCTCCTCTCACATTTGAATGGATGCATTCTTAATATCTCTCTTATACTTTTTAATGTATATTTATAGATGCTTCCAAGATCCTTTGTCAACGATTGGAGAAACCAACTTGGTGACACAGTACGAGTAACTGCATATGATGGTATAATTGTCACAATACGATTAGAAAGAGATAATGGAAGAATATATTTTGTCGATAGATGGGAACAATTTTTTGAACATCATAACTTACAGGATGCTCATGTTTTGGTATTTAAATATAATGGAAACTCCACATTCAATATGACCATATTTGATCATTCTAGATTAGAGGTCACATATGACTTCGATGTTCCAGAAGAATACAACGCTTCACATACAGATAACCCTGCATTTGAAATAACACTAACACCTCATCACAACAGCCATCGGGAAATTGTAAGTGTCATCATTAATATCTTATTCTACATTCATCTCTTCGACATAAATTTGATTCAAAGATCAATAATTTATTCATTCATGATTTTCCAGGATATATCAGGACAGTTTTCTAGATATCACCTACCAAGAGGTGTGCGAAGTGTTCAAATCCATGATTCTTTACATCACGACCGGGAGCTTGCCACAAATTTACGACCAAATGGTCTAATAAGACGTATGACTATAGGTTGGGCGGATTTTTTTAGAGAAAAAGTACTACAAATGGGCGATACATATGTTTTCGAACTTTTGAACAGTGAACCCCCAACGTTCATCGTCTATAAAAAAGACCATGTTGATGGAAGTTTGACACGTCTATGAGATCTCTTTACTTTCTTCTAATTATTTTCATGTATTTCTATTTTGTTATTTCCTAGCCCAATTCTAAATATAATTTTAAAAAAATACAAAATAAAAAAATTACAAAAATTTAAAAAATATATATAAATATTATTTTGTTAAAATTGAAAAATTAAGTTTTATTTAAAAGAGAAAAGAATGAAAAAGAAATTTAAATAAATTGATAAAAAGAAGAATTGCTTATTTATATATATATATATCTATATATAATTATAAATTAAAAAAATTATAACTAAAACTACACAACAAAAAAAAAAGTAATCTATCCGTGCACGGAACAAACGCCTCCGTGCACAGAAACACTGTCTTCATGCACGGAGGGTAAAAGAAAGAAAAAAAATTGTTGAAGCCTCCGTGCACGGAGGCAAATGTCTCCATGCATGGAGACAAAATTTATATATATATATATATATATATATAAATTTTGTCTACATGCATAGAGACATTTGCCTCCGTGCACGGAGGCTTCAACAATTTTTTTTCTTTCTTTTACCCTCCGTGCATGAAGACAGTGTTTCTGTGCACGGAGGCGTTTGTTCCGTGCACGGATAGATTACTTTTTTTTTTGTTGTGTAGTTTTAGTTATAATTTTTTTAATTTATAATTCTCTTTAATTCTTTTCTCTTCAAATTTTTTACTTACAAATAATATGTTGTAAAAAAAAATTTTGTCGCATATTATCTCTATCTTTTTTTTTTCAATATAAAAGTGATATTTTTCTTATATCCTACTATATATATCTATATCGGAGTGGGGAGTAATGAAAATTGTGTGTAGTAGTAAATTTGGAGGTAGTGTATAATAAAATAAAAAATATATCAAGCAAACGACGTCATTTTTGGCCCCCAAATTGAAAAAAAAAAGTCACGGTAAAGATAGATCAAGACACTGTTACTTTTTACAGTGCCCTCACATTCCCCTTTTTTATATAGTAGGGTTTTTTTTAATAAAAAAATGATATTTTTCTTATATCCCTACTATATATATCTATATCGGAGTGGGGGGGAATGGAAATTGCGTGTTGTAGTAAATTTGGAGGTAGTGTACAATAAAATAAAATATATATCAAGCAAACGACGTCGTTTTTGCCGCCCAAATTGAAAAAAAAAAACAAAAAAATAATTCTGCAATAAAGATGGATCAAGATACTGTTACTTTCTACAGTACCTTCACATTTCCCCTTTTTTATATAGTAGGGATATGGATATGTATACAAAAAAAAAAAGTTTTAAAACGCTTTTACATGGATAATGCACATCTATTGGCATCACCTATGGTTGTTAGATCACTTGATGTAAAAAAAGATCCATTTTGTCCACTTAAAAATGGAGAAAAAAGGTTTTTGGTTCTGAAATAGTATACCTTAGTGCAATTAGAGCATTAACTTATGTTTTAAATTGCACTCAATTTGACATAACTTTTCTATAAATTTCTTTGCAAGATATAACTCTACACAAACTCAAAAATATTGAAATAGTGTTAAACATATTTTTCATTATCTAAAGGGTACTATTGATTTGAGATTATTTTATTTTCAAAAGTCGAGATCTACTTTCATGGGATATGCAGATGCATGTTATCTATCTGACTCATATAAAACTAAATCACAAACATGTTATTTATTTACACGTGGAAGAACAGCTGTATCATGGAGATCCGTGAATCAATCTTTGACAGCAGCATCCTTAAATCATTCTAAAATTATTACAATCCATGAAGCATGTCAGAATGTGTGTGGTTAAGAAACATAACCCATAATATCCAAGTATCATGCATATTAACTTCAATAAATAATAGTTAAAATTTTTGTATGAAAACAATGCAACTTGTATTGCACAATTCAAATGAAACTATATCAAAGGTGATAGGACGAAGCATATTTCTCCAAAATTCTATCATACACATGAGCTTCAGAAGAATGACGACATTGATATCCAACAAATTCTCTTCATTGACAATATGACCGATTTATTCACAAAAATACTGCCAACATCTACATTTGAGAAATTTGTTCATGATATTGGAATGCGTCGACTCAAACATTTTTAGTGATCAATATCAGTGGAGTAGTTGTACTCTTTCTTCTTCGCTTAAGTTTTGTCCTACTGGATTTTCCTAATAAGGTTTTAATGAGGCATCATTTATTTTTAGTATTTCAAAATAATTGTACCTTTTTTCCTTCGTTTGATTTTTTTTTTATTGAATTTTTATCAAACAAAATTTTAACGAGACAGATATTTTATAATGTAAATTTAAGGGGGAGTGTTTTAAAATGTAAGTTTATTATGGTTTAGAGGTGAATGTCAATTATACCCCTACAACCTTAGAAATTATTACTGTTGTATCCCTGATTTTATTATATATACAAGATTTTAGTTCTTAATAAAACACACACAAGTTTATTGACTTTTCTCTATTCTCTTTTCTTTTATAACACCATGCTTATTATTATAAAAATTAAAGTTGATTGTCCATTTTGTTGAATAACTGAATGAAAATTACCCTAATCTAATTTTTAACTTTTTAATTAAAAGTTCACATGTCAGTCAAAGATTATTTTGAAAGAAATATGATCATATTGGCTTATGATTAGAAGTTTTTTTAAAAGGTAAAACTAATTAATTTTTTTAAAAAGTGATTTTTAAAATTAATCATAATCCAAGAAAATTCCATTATGGAAAATTCAAATAGTCAGCTATTTCAAAAATAAAAATAATTTATGCATAATTGAAAATGCAATTTTCCCTAAAACACTGTATTTGGTCCTGTTCTGACTCTTGCCAATAACGATCCGTATATTCCTTGTAGCAAAACCACGATCCGATCACCGCCGCCGCTTCCGCTGCCGCTGCCGCACCACCTCATCAGTGCCGCTCCAGCAATCAGTTGAACCAATGACTCGACAAGCCACTAGACTGATTAGCAACGTCACGCCAAAGCTGTTATACTCTAGGCAGCTCCAGCAGTACCGCAACTTCGGATCGGCTCCCCCTCCTCCAGCGGTGTTTGTGGACAAGAACACCCGTGTCATTTGCCAAGGCATCACCGGAAAGAATGGCACTTTCCACACAGAACAGGCCATTGAATATGGCACCAATATGGTCTTTACTCTTAATTATCATTTCCACTATAATTATGTTAACCATCTCGCCTACAAGTTTATTTGTTATGGGGGCAAATATTTTCAATTTAAATTTGTCTTCTATGCGCTCCCTCATGTGTAGGTCGGGCTCATATTTTCCGATCAAAACTGAACATAGGGCACAAATCATCACTAGCATATTTGTGTAACCACATGGTTTCACATATTTCTTGCTATGTGATTGTGGATTTTTGTTTTGTTTCTCTGTGCGATTTTCTAATGTTTTTGGTTCCAGTTAGTGTTTTCTGGATCCATAGGGGAATCATAATATCAGACAGTATACTGGATGTTGTCGCTTGTATCGGGTGCTTAGTAAAATTAGCATTAATATAAACACAGATCATTTACGAGAGTGTTCGCGTGGACGAATTGAATAGAAATTCTTTTGGAAGGAAATGGTATGATAGTACATCAAGTTGTATGGTGTGCTCTTGCTAGATGCCTCGGTATCTTGGATATTGAATCTGTGAATTATTTGGGTTTATGCTCATATTTCTTGAAGATCTAGACTATTGATTGAAACTAGAAATAAAATTAATTTACTGAGAATATAAGTTTCCATCCTGATATTAAAGCGATCAAGGGTAGTTGCTCAGGTACTAAGGTAGCATTCAATGCTCATTAGCCTAAGAGGAAGGAGAAGTGGCTACACATTGAATGTATGACTACCATTTCAAATTTTGAGAAATATGGAAAATACATTTATAATTCAATCGAAGAGTTGTTTGTTGGTTTCAGAGAAGAAATATGAACATACTTTCTCTCTTTTGTAGCCCAAAATTGGTGAAAGAGTTATTTATGTTTATGGCTTGGGGGGGGGGGGGGTGCAAACAGAGGGAGAAATTACAGAAAATAAAACATCGTACCTCCCTCGCCCTCTCTCTATCTTTCTTTCCCTTTCCCCTCTATATAATTTTTGTGAGGAATTTTAATACTTCCCAGTTCTGTTTGAACCTTTTATTTGAATGTTTAGCTTGTATTTTCCTCACATTTCATGTCTGCTTACCTAGGTTGGAGGAGTTACGCCAAAAAAGGGTGGAACAGAGCACTTGGGACTTCCTGTTTTCAACTCTGTAGCAGAAGCAAAAGCTGAAACAAAAGCTACTGCATCAGTGATTTATGTTCCTCCACCTTTTGCAGCTAGAGCCATTTTGGAGGGAGTGGAGGCTGAACTAGATTTGGTCGTTTGCATCACGGAGGGCATCCCTCAACATGACATGGTATCATATAAATTATGTTGAGATATATAACTTCCCTTCATTCCTCAACAAAGAAAATACAATTTACGAGTATGGAGCTAACTCCAATTATGAAGCTTCACTTAATAAAGATTTCTTTGACTACTATTTTATGAGAATAATGGGACACTTCTCACCGGTGATAGAAACAAACGCATCTACTGTTGTTATTTCCTGATTTCTCTTCTAGGTCTAATTAGATTAGCTATTGCATATATTTCCTGCGTTGGTTGCTCATGAAAAGGTTTGTGTCCTGTAGTTTGTGACCTCGGATTTGTCCATTTGCCCTCAAAAGTTGCACGGATCACAAACATGTCATGGCTTGTTTGCTAGGCTGATGGAGGAAGGGATTTGGAGAGAGGGTGCAAATTCGGGATTTAGATTTGAGATTTTACTATTTTAGCCTACAAAACATTCTGGTGATGGCAGCAAAACATCCCCATATTATACTTTCGCTAGTCCCATATCTCAAATGCTTAGGGTGCATTTGGTTTTTATTTCTGTTTTCAGCTTTGTATTCATTTTCTGTTTTCTATTTTGAAGGATTATTTTAAGATTGCAGAAAACGTGTTTGGTTTGTCATTTTGAATTTTTTTTTTCAAAACAAAATACAAGAAAATGCTTTTAGTTTTAAAATTTTAGAAATAGTTTTATGACTTTTTTTTTTTTCAATTAATTTGATTATTTAGTAAAACATATCAATTTTATGCTAATATGTGAAAGAAAAATATAAATTTTAAAGTCGGTGAAAAAAAAAAATTCATTTTAAGATTGAAAGATAGCATCAAAGAGATGGATTCTCCACTAGGTCTCTTGGAGGAGCTTGTGACGAGAGAGAGATGGGGGTAAATGTATTTGAGTAGGTTTTGTGTGATTTGATTAATTATTTTAATTTGAGAAATTTTTTAAGTTTATTTCTCTTGTTTTGAGTATTTTCATTGAAGACGCTCGGAACGTCAAAAGGTCATTTTGAGTTTTATGTCGTAAAATTTTCCTTACTTTTGAAAACGCATTTTTGAAAATAACATACCAAACACGTTTTGAGTGTTTTAGAAAACTGAAAACTGAATATGGCCTCAAAATGCCAAACCAAACATACTCTTATATTCTTTGTTCAGTTTTTCCTGGAGTTTATGTTAATATTTGGTTATCATTAGAAAATCCAAAGTGGGGCACAACTCATCTATATGGGGATGAAACCCTTTACATTTGCTTATATTTGTCTTTATTGTCTAGTTCTGTAAATGTCCAGCCTCCTCAATTGCAGGTTCGTGTCAAGGCTGCTCTCAACCAGCAGTCAAAAACTCGACTCATTGGACCAAATTGTCCTGGCATTATCAAGCCTGGAGAATGCAAAATTGGAATTATGCCTGGATACATCCACAAACCAGGACGTATTGGAATTGTTTCACGATCTGGAACATTGACTTATGAAGCTGTGAGATACTTATATTTTTATCTTGCATCTGAAATTTTTGTTACATCTTATATATTTCTTATGATTCAGGCCCTTAGAATCAATAATCATTAACAAAAGATATTCCGTATTATTTGTTTATTTTTTCTTTTATATGGGTCCTTTATACAACAAAAATTAATGGATTATTGGCAATAAATTCTAAACTAGTAGCAGTTAGAAAATTCTATTGGTTGTAGAGATTGGTGCTTAGTCATTCTGTTCTGCTGAGATGTGTTTTTGAGATTTTATGTTCCATCCATCCATCCTGCAACCCAAGTAATAAGTAATATCATTTTTGAACAGGTTAAGACATCATCTTGGAAGGTCCTTGTCATGCCTAGCACTTTAGGGTTTTCATTCAGAACATCAAAACTATTGATAGAAATTGTAGGACCGGAGTTGTCAAATTCACCGGATGAAAAAGTTGGATTTGCCCACTCTTTTGTAGGTTATAGATTCATTTTTGCAGCTTTCAACATTGCCTCTTCATCAGGCAAATTTGACCAACTTTTTGAAGTACTATATTGACAATATTCTCAATTTTTTACTGGAAGAGGGTACATCTTTCACATTCAGGTTTTAAATCAGTGATTAAAAGGAATTAAAGAGTTACATCTAGGAAAGGATCAAATCAGAGAACATGACAGGTGCATATACCGTTTGAGTTTGTCGTAGCAGTTAGGATTCAAATCAGGACGCTGTTCTAGGGTATAGCAAAATTTTTGATTTACGATAGTTAATAATTTGAGTATTCAACTTCAATTTTCCAATCTTTATATCTTTTAGTCACCGAGGTTCACCACCTAAAACTAAATTAAGACAATATCATATGGAATAGCTGATTTTGGTTGCTAATATTCTCTTATAACTAATTTTAAGTAGAGCACTACTCTTACATCTCTTCTTCTGCATTCTATTTCTGTTTTGTATTATTTATATTTGGTGCATGGCACTTGAAATTCAGTACGTATGCGATTCTAAGCATGTGATGGTTTGTTTAATTGTGGACTACTTATCTCAAACGTGAATGTGTTAGGTTTTCCAAACCACTGCTGTTGGTCTTGGGCAGTCTACATGTGTAGGAATTGGTGGGGATCCTTTTAATGGAACGAATTTTGTTGACTGCGTAGAAAAATTTCTTGTGGATTCACAGACAGAAGGTAAATTCTTTGCCAGGAAAAGCTTAATCTTTGCCACCTAATATATTTGCCAGGAAGACATTTTTTGACTTGAAAAGACCATGCTTCATTCATTCGTAAAGATATTTACATTCGCGTTGGATGTCTATCATTCTCCAAAGAAAGTATTAAATTTTGTTTTTGGGGAAAATTTCCATGTACAATCTTCATTTCTATACTTAATTAAGCACTTGAGACCCTATTAAAATTTCTTGGCATTTGGGCTTCCAACCTTTAATTTGTGTAGCATATGGATCCCTACTGATGGTGGTCTTACTCCTTGCTGTCCTTTTTCCCAAAACTAGAAGGATATTGTCTTTACTCTGTCTAGTCTCGTCATCACTTTTCTCATTACTCAAATCTATTGTTCGGATTCATTGCTGACAAAATAGATGCTATGCTTAATTATTATGTGCATATTACATTTCAGGCATTGTTCTAATTGGTGAGATAGGTGGTACGGCTGAAGAAGATGCTGCAGCCCTTATAAAGGTTAGGACAATATTTTTCTCAGAATCGTGCGATGAATTGGAACATAAATTTTGTCTCTACTTATGGATCAATTTTTTTTATTATTATTTTTAATAATTTCAGTGCCAGCAGTCACTAGTTTTAATTGTAATATGCAATTTAATAAGGTTCCTCACAATTGAAATCGTTCTAGTTTAGGATTTGAAATCCTTATCAATAATTGTTCTTTAGTTGTAAGGTAGTAGACTAGACCACTGCCAGTATGCTATATAATTCACTATCAGTGACATGATTATTGAGTTATCATCAAGTTTTTGAAGTTTTTTTGACCCCCTGTGATACTATCATGTTTAGATGTGGGTTGCCTTTGGATCCTGGGGGTGTTTCCAGGCCTTCATTTCTTCTTTTCGGGGGTGTTTCCAGGCCTTCATTTCTTCTTTTCTTTCTCATCTCATTGAACTTCACCCTTATTTTGGGAATAGCTTCTTTCCTGTCTCGACAAAGGTCGTCCTACAAAACTAGTTTCCAAATATGGTATAGTAGGACAAAGATGATAAAAACAAATGCCATACATAAAAATTTCTCAATGTTTAAAGAATGCAATCAGAGATATGACAATTATGGAAAATAATTTATCTAGTCAATTTCATGTTATTCTAATGCACCGTGTTAACTAAGAACTATGCATATTGTTTGCCAGATTATCATTTTAAAAATCTTTGTTCAACTATTTTGCTTGTAGTTGGATTCAGAAAAGACAGAACTTTTGACTATTTAATGTTTGATATCTCATTGGTTTGTGTGTTGAAAATATTTGTTCAACTACAACAGGAAAGTGGAACCGCAAAGCCTATTGTTGCTTTTATAGCTGGACTTACTGCTCCACCTGGTCGGCGAATGGGTCATGCAGGAGGTACTGTATTTTTGTGAAGTCTCAAATATTCAACTCTTCTATTCTTGGTGTCATGTTTTATCTGGTTTCTGATTAACCTTAAGAGTAGAACACATGATAATGAGAGAGGACTTGTTGCTTTCCTTTTCTTTTTCTTTTGATGTCTTACAAAAATATGTGGTTATTTTCTATTTGTGTCTATGTAATGAAGAGGTTATCATGCCATAACATTTTTTTATCATGACCAGATAGATTTTCCTTTTTCTTTCTGTAAATGCATATTTTTTTACATGAATTTGCATTTCAATTGAAAGATCCGGGAGAAAATGTTCAATACTGCAATGTAATCGCAGAATGTCCAGCTATAGTTCACCATTTCATTTTTCTCTTGCTTTTTTTGACTTCCTCGACGTGCACTACTGGCAATCTGATGATGAATTTTTCAGTCTTGCATGAATTATTTGTGAATTTGAATGTCCAATCTCGGTATATATGATATCACTCGTAAATCTATAAAACAATATTTAAAAAAAAAAAAATCATAGTTAAATATTTTCCTTTTGGAAGCCAGAATCAAATTGACAGCTTCTACTCCTTTGAATTTGCAGCTATTGTATCAGGAGGTAAAGGTACAGCGCAAGACAAAATTAAGACCCTCAGAGAAGCTGGGGTTACTGTAGTTGAGTCACCTGCAAAGATTGGCACTGCAATGCTTGAAGTCTTCAAGCAGAGGGGTCTTGTTTGAGCCAGTAAGATATATTTACTAATGATTTTCTTTCGTTTTTCCCCATTTTGGCAGACGGGAAATGGCTATCCGTTTGTCAATCTATTCCTGTTTCTGCGTACAATAACGAATGATCATTGCTTAGCAACCTTTAGAAAGCTTCAGAATTCTTTCTTGATATGCTGTTGGTTTCATCATCATCAATAGGTACACACAATTCTTCTTGTGTAAACGAGTTTTGAAATAATGATTTAACTTTGTTAGATGGAACGACCTTTTCATGGTCAGACGGTCTGGCTGCACTTGGCTGGTCCGATCGTTGTGACATCACTAGTGTTGTCCTTGCAGCAGTGTTGAAGCTTAAAATGGGGCTTTAAATTATTATATTTTGGGAAACTTAGGGTTGGATTCTGGGTTCCACAACCTATTCAATCTTGCGAAATTGGGTCCCCCACGTGATAGGAATCCGTAATGGGATGGGGCAGGCCAACGCGATGGAGATCGAATTTTATTTTATTTTTTCCTTTAGTTTTTGTTTGTTTAACATATTTTATTGTTTTTTATTTTACGGTTTGTTTTATTCTTTTATTAATATATCTAGTACATAACAATAGCATAATAGTCATTTTAAAGAATTATTGACTTTTTACACCGTCAAAATGGGGTTTTTATTTTTATTTTTTGAAAGTGTGGTTAAAAAGTAGAAAAAAGTTACGTGTCTATATGCAAAATTATTTTAATATGAGATTGTGATTATAAATGAGTTTAAGAAAAAAATTAGTTTTAAAGAATCTTTGTTTGACAACATTAATAATTTATTAATTAGCTTATTGAACTAATGTAGTCATATCTGCTGTTGTCTTAAAACTTTGTCATCCGAATAACATATTTTTATTTTATGTAATATCAAAAATTATTTATAAGTTGATAGAATGGGATTTTCAGTTTAGGTTTATGCGAGATATATTTTCATAAATTAGTATGAAGAGAATTTTAATGTTCGAAATCTAAAATTTAATGGATGTGAAATATTCAATGAAAAAACGATTAAATTTATAAACAATGTTTAATTTGATTTTGAGTATTACTCTGTAGGATTAATTTTAATGTTTAATTTAAAATAAATTTGTTTATATTTCAAAAATAAATAAATAAATAAATAAAATAAAATATTTGGATAGGTGGCTAAACAATTTATAACATATACGTGTTATCATAGTATACAATCTTTATGTTTTGGAATTTAGATCCTTCATATTTCAACTGTACAGCATCTTGGTCTTCAATGGATTGTGTCCATCCATTTTGTCATTAAAAGGATATATGAATTTCAACATTATTGTCATTTTTTAGGTAAAATAGTTTATTAAAATGAACATAAGCAATTTGCATAATTTTGAGAAAGTTCTCAAAGTACAAGCTCAAAGTTTGGGGATGGGTGTTTCTCGTATATGTAGAACTAGGGTGCATATGGACTTGAAGCCCCCTTTTGATTTCATTCTTTGGCCACAAAAATGAAAAATATGATCGTTATCTATCATAATAAGCTATCATATTTAATGTTTTATCTCTTGTTTAGGTTTCGTAACGGTTATATTTTTCGTTCTCATTTTTACAAAAATGGGTACCAAACGGGACTAAATGACCAACGAGGAGGACAAAGTTAAGACCAAGTTCGACTTACCATAACGAAGACATCGTCATTGAACAAAGCTCATTAACTTAACTCAAACCTAAAAGAACGTGGGCTCACCCTAAATAGTGCATTACCCACCCAAGCTAAGAAAATAATTGGCTCAAGTCAATTCTACCGTGTAAAGGTTGATAAAAGGTTGTTCAGAATCAAGATTACTGAGTTAGAGCCAAGAGAAAAAGTACACGACAACTTAACACAACAAGAAAGTAGAAACTTGACAACTAGACATAACATGATCATAAATATAAAAGACAAACTACATGCTCCAAGTTTTAAGTTGCATGACTCTTTCTTTCACACGACCCAGAACCATGGAAAATGTACTAGAATTTAACTTCTCATTGAAATTTTGTAATAAATCTATTCTCAAGCTATATAGTATTCGTTGACATGGATATCATAATGCAATGAGTTATTCACTTCCTACATTGTTCGATAGTCCAACACACTTGCGATATCTTATTTTGATGAAATTAAGGAATTTCATGTAATCTTGGTCGGGTCTTCAATCAAATTTCAGCGGCATAATAAGACATGCATTAATATTTATTCCCACGATTAAGGAAATCTAATATTTGTACAACAAATTGGCACAGTTTGTGTAATGATATTTATGTTGAAATTCACGAGCACCAGACCGGAGGAGGAAAAAAAAGAAAAAAGAAAAATAAAAATGGAAATGTTAATAGAACCTCTAGAAAAGAAAGTCAGCCCTCGTTTGGTAGCAGTTTTTCATCAAAAAAAAAATTAATTTTTTGACTATTATATCATTAATCTAACCTTCATTTTTGTCTTCTTCAATCATAGGTGAGACCTACTTTTCTCTCTAACGGGGCCCCTTGGGGCATAGTCTAGTGGTGTAAAGAACAGGAGTAAAGTTATCTCCCGCCTTGCTGACAGTCGCAGTGTGGGGGTTCGATTTCTGAAATATGGAATTGGACTCATTGTTGGCGCAGTATACAAACAGCTCTTGTTCCCTGACCTGTTGGGGCACATCCTGCGATTTACCTCTCTCACAAAGCTTTAGGGGCGTGCAGTGAGGACCCTCAATGTTGGAGTTCAACCTTCATTTTTTCTCTAATGATCAAAAAATTAATTCTTTTAATCACTACTGAACAACCCCTAAATAGGTTATTAATATTTTATTATAGCTATGCCTTCAATTTTCAAGACAAAAATCATCCACAACTTAAGATAACTATCACATAAAATAGCGAAAAAATTGCAGCAAAGGTTCTTAATCTTTCAATTTTTGCAGACTTTATTCTAACCTTCAAATTGTGCTAGCAGGGGTCCTTAACCTTTCATAAATATGGACTTAGAGTCTATCTGAACGGAAACTGTGCATGAAATTGTTAGTTGACCAAGAAAAACGATTTTTCACTAATTTTGATCAAATTGAAAGGGGTAAAATAGTAATTTTGTGCATTTATAAAATATTGACAATTTAAATAATAAAATTAAAGGGAAAAAAAGAGAAAAAAAGAAAAAGCAATCTACCCTAACACCTCCACCCACCCCCACCCATATTCATCATCTCCAACCATCTTCGTTTTCTCTAACCAACGACATTGATATCCATACATGATTGACCGTCGACAACAACCAATACACCGTCGCATCGTCCACGACCACGGTCACCACCCTCGAACCCCACACCACACTCTATTTCGAACCATCCCTAACCAAAAAACAATTTCAGGGTTGGTAAAAACCGCCATCGACCTAAATTAGATTTTTTCCCCATTAATTTTTTGAAGCTTTGTAATAGTTTTGATTTTCATTTTATGAGATTTGGTTGTGAATGTGTGGTGATTTGACAATCACTAGTGATGCGACGATTGGTGGAGATCCAATTGTTAGATTTTTGGTTCCATTTTGGGGTTTTTCGATTTTGAAAGCAATGGTGGATGATGGGTTTTTGCTGGATTTTGAGAGGATTTGAAATTGAAAAGGATTTAACAACCATTTCACTTTTCACTGTGGGTTTTGGTTGTCGAGACTGCTGGCGTTTGAGATGGTGGTATCGATTTAGGTGTGGCATCGTGTGGGTGAGTTTTCTTGGTTTATTTTCAAATGTGTAGTGGCAAATGTAGAGTGGGCTGGAAGATGGAGGTGGAGGCTGTCGAAACTAGTAGTTGGAAGTAGTGATGGGAGTAGTAGTGGCAGTGTGGGTCGAAGGTGGCAGCGGTGGTTGTTTTTGGTAGGCTTGTTGGAGAAGAAGAAGAAGAGAGGCAGTTTTGATTGGATTGAGTTGGGTGGGGATGGAAGATGGAGAAATTTTTTTCCTAATTTTGTTTGGTTTTTTATAATATGGAATTAATTAAGTTATCATTTTACCCTTACCTAATTTGGTCAACTAATAGTCAAATGGATAGTTTTCATCTGTTTGGACCCATCTGCATTTGTATGAAAGGTTTGGAATCTCTGTTGATACAAATTGAAGGTTATGATAAAATCTACAAAATTTGAAAAAGTTAGAAACCACTACTACAATTTTTTCCATAAAATATCATATGCCCATTTTTACGAAGGTAAATTTTGCTCTTCACCTGGTTTGGTACCATGAAATCGAATAATAAGTTTTTTCGAGGGTCACTTGATAATTTAATAAAATTCTATGAAAGTGGATGATTGAGAATCAAATTATCTTTCTGTTTTTAAATTGATTGAGAACCAACTTGTTATTAGGACAATAATTTGCGAGTCATTGAAATTAGAAAAAATTGTAGAAGTGGTCCCTAATCTTTTCATTTTTTATAAATTTTGCTTTAACTTCATTTTGTGACAGTGAAAGTCTCTAACCTTTCATAAATATGCATATGACGTCTATCTGGATAGAAACCATCCAAAAAATTGTCAGTTGAGCGAGAAAATTCCTCGAACTATCTTCTATCGCGACGACTTTATTTGATGTTGATACCTTTTTGACGATGTTTTGGACAATTTCCTTCTAGATGGACCTTATATCCATATTTATGAAAGGTTAGGAATCTCTTTTGACACAATATGAAGATTAGGGTAAAACTTATAAAAAATGAAAAGGTTAAGAACTGTTGTTGCAATTTTTCCTTGAAATTATGAAATTTGAAGGTCTTATAACATGCAAATTCGGCATTTCAGAATCAGACGTATCCTCAAGAAATATCTGGAGAAACCCAGAAAGAAAAAACTAGCGAATCCAATGGCTGGAGGCCACACCGACTACGCTAAGAATATTCTAGGCCTTCCCAACTCCACACTATTTAAATACCTTCTCAACCCTTCTCCTAACGCTTTAAGATATACTGAATCCCTGTTTTGCGCAAACTTTACGAAGAATTCTCTTTTGTGTGTTGTTTTTATCGATTATTGTGATTCTGTTTGTGATCTGAAACTATGGCTGGAAAGGGTGAAGGACCCGCGATTGGAATTGATTTAGGAACCACGTATTCTTGCGTGGGTGTTTGGCAGCACGATCGGGTTGAGATCATAGCTAATGATCAGGGCAATCGGACGACACCGTCTTATGTAGCTTTTACTGATACTGAGCGTTTAATTGGAGATGCAGCCAAGAACCAGGTGGCCATGAATC